TGTGTATGTATTAGGCATATGACTGTATCCATATACCTAACTCAAATACCTGTATATCTATAATTACATGTTCCTACAGTGGGAAGCCCGGCCAGCCGAGGCGGGCGCGCGCTAGCGTTTACAATTAGTACTAATAATAGGAATAATAATACTAAGAATATTAATAGTAATAGTAATGATAATAGTAATAATAATAACGGTGAAGTAGGTGTTATTTGGGTTGCTTTCTTGGACCGGGCTCAGCTCAAACCTCTTAGTCACACCTGTAGTCAGTTGGGAAGCCTAGGAACGCGCAAGCCCCGCCTCTGGGAATCCCCCACGGCCCCAACGGTGTATGCATCTTGGTTGCTGTTAAGGTACGTAATTTAAGCTACTATAACAAGGAAACCTAACATTTTTCTGTACACCCATCCAGCAACCCAGTAGAGTAAAAATATCAGGGTTGACGAGGGTACTCCAAATCTCGTTTACGATCTATTCGCCATGAATTCTGCACCTGATTTACAATAGGCAACACTTTGAAACACTGTAATCCTTACCATGGTGTACAAATAATTTTGGGAACCCCCCTACATGGCCCCTAAAAGGCCATACACGGCCTTTATTAGAATGATCTATGCGTTTAGGGTCCTAACAAAACGTGGATCCCTCAAAGTGGGGGCCGGGGGCCCAACAAAGACTAACTGTTGATACTACTAGAAGTCCTGCATGACCTTAGTAAACTGGAATACCATAATCCGAAGCGTAAGATACATAGAATGTGGGGTATATGGGGATCGTATTGTAATATACCCTATGCCATGTTCTATCTACTTAAGGGGGACTATAAGATACCTAGGGTCATGCATGCTTTTTCAGATCCACGGCATGTCCTGTTCAAAGGGGCGATATAAGTTTCCATTGGGGTTTCGGGTAGGTTTAGGGTTTAGGGTAACGAAAGCACACAATATAGAATCTGACTAAACCAGGGGCCTAGATATTGCACCGTAGGAAAACAAGGAATACAAAGGAAAGATGTTGGAAATCATTCAAGGTCCCAAAAACATGAGTTACATTTTAAACCCAATCATAAGCCCAGTTTGCTAGTGCCGCTCTTCTTTTCCAGTTGATTGATCCCTACTAAACCCTAAACCCTAAAATACTCCGGCTGCTGGTAAGTCTTGGTACTGTAGTTTCCCAAACTAGGGGGACCTTGTGATGGGGACCCCCGAAAAAAGTACCTGGGAAACCCTCCGTTCGGGTTTCTGCAGCTTTGTCAGGCAATCCCCTGCCGACCCTTATCGGTTAGGGTTTGGGGTTTAGGGTTTCAGAGCTTTGGGCTTAGGGTTTAGGCCCTCCGAAAAACCGCCAACCCTGTTGATCTCAAATCCTGCGGCGACCCCACTGAACGGCAACCCGCTGACCTATGCCGTAAACACTAAACCCTCAACCACCAAACTTCTAACCCCTACCTCTAGACTTTAAATCCTGAACTTTAAGCCCGAAGCCCCAAACCCCAAAACACCGTAAATCTAAATTTTCAAATCCTGAACCCAAGCCCAGACCCCTGGGAGCATCTAGAATCTAGAAAGCAGAGCTCCCAATGTGGTACGTACCCCGTATTACAACTGGGTGACTCCTATGAACCCTAGAGCAGAATGTGCTTTGCAGGCCTTAAACCCTCAACCCTGAACTCTGACTAGATGGTTTAGGGTTTAAGCCCTGAACCTTAAACCGTACACCCCCAAACCTTGAACAACACCTTCCCTCCCCTTTCCCCGGCCGCTGCGATGGCGCTGAGCACGCTGGAGCCGGCGCCGCTGGTTATGTCAACCAACTGCCTGGGTGAAAGCAAGGAATTCGGGGTTCAGGGCTCATTAAACCATAAACCATCTAAATTAGGGTTCAGGTGTTTAGGGTTTAGGGGTTCAGGGTTTAAGGATTCGGGTTCAGGGAGTAGGGCTAGAGGGTTTAGGGCTACTAGGGTATATAGGTTTGCTGGCGCCATAGAAGTCAAGCTTTCATGGCTTCATCGTGATCATATAGGGATGAAAAGGTAATACAAGTTCAACAGGATGTTCAAACCTGCCACAGTGTAGAGGTCTAGCGTTTAGGGCGTGAGGGTAGTGTTTCGGATCTGAGGTTCAGGCTCGAGATGTGGGGCTGCTGGATTGGGCAAGGTGATCAGTGAAATGAGCTATCATTTAGGGTGAAGTCGGGTGAGGTCGTCATATTCTAATTTGCCCAGTAAGTCTTGACAGGGTGGTCTTAACCTGTAAACCCTAATGTTGCTTTAATGTGTTTTCGCCGCCCCTTATTCGGGACATGGCCATTGTTTGGGTGACCTTGTTTAGTGTGTTTTGTTTTTGGGGCCCCAAAAATACGGGACCGAATCCAGACCATCCCTTTTAAACTAATCTCCCAGGCCTCCCGTGGCCCTAAGTACTGCGGGACGTTTATTCAGGACGTCTAAGTTCTCTTTTTCTGGGGGCCCTATTGTTAGGGGGGGGTGCCCTAAGATTAAAGAGGGTGCAGCATTACACCCTACACCCTAAACATCCCTAAATCCTAAACCCAACCCCCTAAGCCCTACACCCTAAACCCTACACCCTAAATCCTAAATCCTACACCTTAAACCATACACCCTCAACCCTGAAGCTCACCACTTGGGACGCCCAAGATGGTACAGCGGGATTTGGCCTGAATTACAGTTCCGCAAATCGGAGAAAGTCATATACATACATATATATATATATGTATATACATATATGTGCGGTTTGGGGTTCAGGGTTTAGGGTTATATCTATATATATGTAGATAGATATAGCGGCACCTGTATTCATACAACAGGAATTCTACATGGGGACCCCTCTTGTCATAAATTTAGGACATCCCCATGTGGCTTGTGCAAAGTTTCTCCATCCAGAATATGATGCGCATTGTGTCTGTGCCTTGCCCACAGCCAGCGGAAGTCAAGGCAAGAAGGCTTTGGCGTGAAACATGCAACCAACTCCCGCATCCCCCTTTATAATGGTATTAGGGGGGGAGGGGAAAGCGGCAGTGATAGTCTAAGCCTGCAAGCACCAACTTCCTATGGGCTTGTGACTTAACATTCCCTAAACCCTACACTTAAACCTTGCACGCTACACCCTAAACCTTAACCCTACACCCTAAACCTATTCAAAGCATCAGGTCATTGGGCTTACATGTAGGTATTCTGTGGCTTGGGCTTCGAGGTGACAATTCGGATTTTCATGAGCTGGGCGGCATTAAAAGGTTGGAGTCAACGGCTTTACAGTGTACTGGGTTGCTGTTGAGGAACTTAGAGTAAGTTACTATAATAAGGAAACCCTATTAGTTAAAGTATACCCATACTATGGTAACTTAGTTTGAGTCCCTTAACAACAACCCCCCCGAGGTGGCTTTGATGTGTTTGGGATGTCCCTTGTCGTTCATGGTCCTCACATGGTAGTTTCCATAAATAGGGGACCTCTGTATAGGCTCCAACACGCTAAAACTAAACCCTAAACCCTAAAACTAACAATCCTTAGTATGGGTACCACGAAAGAGGGAGACCCTGATTTTGGAAAGCCCCGCTCAAGGCTGTGGCTACAGTACTTCAGA